CTTCCCCCCCCCCCACCCCCCGCAAAATTGCCCAAAAAATTTTCCCAACCGCATGCCGTGCCTTGGAGACGTGTCTCTACTCTGATTCTTACATAGATGAAAGAACTTCATCGCATACGATACGAACATAGTGTGCATCACACAAATATACATTATGTACATTAATGCTGCAGATCAAATTCAGAGGACGAAATCAAAAAGTGAACCCCTATGAACACCTATTTACAATACGTTAGACAATATATACAGGAAAACCCGCCAAAGTGATGTAAAGAAGCAGCTACAAGAACCTCAAAATAGCTTGAATTCAACTCGAGTTGAAACCGGTCTTGTAACCGTGGGTTTTCCTCATTTCTCTCACAAATGACTTCGTACATTCGCAGCAAATTGAACAAAGCATGCCCATAGGATAGCCCTTGTTGTCGGTGCAGCCGTTCATCGGGACAAACGTCTGATGACATGCTTTGCCCTTTTTGACTGGTGCCTCAGGGAGGAAGCTGCCGTCATTTGGCACTGGTCCTGTGCAACCCATCATTCGGCAACGCGGGGCTGTGATCTGTAAAAGGAAAATGTAAATGAACAGTAATGAAAAATTAAATGAAATATTTGGCGCTTTTCGGTATGCGAGAGACATTTTGCACTACCAGTAGTTTCTTTTGCTGGTTCTTGCTGAATTGCACACCGACCACGTCATAAGTTGGGGAATCCCTAGCGAGGGGAGGGGTCATATCTGTCGGTGTGGTGAGGAGGATCGTACCTGGTCTGAGAAAATTTTTTCCTGTTTCACGGACGCTGTAGGCACGGGAGTCGTATTTCCCCATTGTTGGGAGAGGGGAAGGGTGTATTTGCCTTTGAAAGGAACCTGCAGCGTTGGAAAAATTTCTTCCCGGTTGTACTTTTCGCGAGTCCCCCCCCCTAATTGGTGGCGCCACCAAAGTTCTATACAACTACTATGCACACACACACCGTAAGCCTATACAATACAAAGATATTGGAAACTAGTTGGTTGCTGACGACCTCTCCACCCTCCCCTCCCCCGCCTCTTGACCTAGGGAAATTTCTGGGCAAAACTAGGAAGTAATTGTGAAATTCCGGAAAAACGAGTAGAAAGTGATGGAAATCTACGAAACTGGTAGGTAAAAAGGGAAAGGTGTTAGGGGAAGGGTAGCATCAGCGGAGGGAATCAGTGGAATTTTTCGTATTTTTAGAAAACTTCCCCAACGCATGGCATTCCCTGACTGCACGTCTCACCTTGGTGGGACTTGTAGACACTTGTTGAGTGCAAACAGAGCTACTGAATATCTTTACGTGAACCAACAGCTCACAGGAAGCATCAGCAGCGATCAGTGAGAACCAGCAAACACCCCCACCAAACCGAACTGAGCCAAATATTTTCTGCCACGGGTTCCTACCGAAACAAAAAAATAAGTAAAAATGTGATAGGTTACCTTTTCAAAATCTCCTCCTTCGAGATAGGTGGCCGCAGGATTGACGGCTGCCGCTTTTCCTCCACTGTTTTCTCCGAAGTCAAAGAACTCAAAATCGGCTGGAGAAGGAGTTGCGACGGAACCAGTGAGTTGTGGGGCAACTCCTGGTTGGGCAGTGAGAAAAACAGAATCCGGAACAACGTCAGGGATCGGTCTGTCGTCGTCCAAGGGCCTCAGGTGTGGCAGCTTCTCCGTCTTTTTCGGTACCGTAACGCCCTGGCCGATCGGATTGACTTGAGGGACAAGGTCCGGATTCGTATTGAAGATGAAAAACGGATCAACTGGGATCGCTTCGATTGGCTTGATAGCTGCGGTCAGTGAGGCTAAAAGTGCAGTTTGAGGCAAACGTGAAGAAGGGGGGGCTATGTAATGAGACTCACCATCAGAATATTCTCGATTACTCGGCAAAGCTGCGCAAAGAGCAGCAACAACGGACAATAAGAATAGAAACATGTAGATAGGCTGAAGTATGACTTGTGGATAAACAGAGAGCGTTCTAGCTCTTTTATATAACGTTACGGGGGCAGTTCTTGGTGGGAAAGAGTGGGGCGGCGCCAGCGCAAGGAACGCAGCGTGAGAATCGCCGAAGTTTTGGGTGTCGAGGCGGGTGTGTTGTGGTGATTCCATCTTGTTGTTAACCCCCACGATCAATTCCGTTTTTCAATTGATTGCATGTGTACATCGCAAGGGAAGACGCCTGACTTTTCACGAGGTGTTCTGTCAAGGCCGCTGTTTTCGTAGATATCAAAACTAATGCGCTATTCATACTAAATTCGCTGTGTACATGACTTTTGGAGGTTAGCATTAACAGTAAAGCGCGCCGTCAATGGCACAGTTCGTCTTGGAGGGGGCATTTGGCTCTCTCTTGGTTCATTCTGTTAGCTCATGTTGCACAATTCGTATTGGTCAGACCTGTGAACTCTTGGGAGGGTGCGAGTGGTTCAAGTGGGTCGTTTGGTCGCAGTAATTCAAAGGTTCTCAAGGAAGGTGGCCTGTACATGCTTAGAAGTTCCATTCGGTGCCCCTATGAGGCCGAACTACATCCTTTAAACCTAT